GAGAGAGAGAGAGAACGTTTGTGCCTGCGAAACGTTCCTTAATTAAGTTGTCTCGCCGATTCGTCCCTGTTGGTACTTCGAGGCCCTGATGCGAAATCGATGATATCACGAGCGGCTTTTCCTTCGAAATCTCGCGAGAAAACGCTACCACCGACATGACGTTGGTTCGATAAAAAGTTTGTGGGAAATAGCATTGAGGGAGAAGATCGACACATCCGAATATTCAGAATTCATATCTAAGGCGATCCCCAATATGCGGAACTTCTGATTTATGCTTCTCGTTATCTATTGTATTCCTCGATCGATTTCTGACGTCTATTTTATCGTAGCGGAAATGTATTTTAAGTGGCTTTGCGACTAAATTAAAATTCTGTAGAAGCAGACCGTTGAAGTCCATTTAGAAAATGACATAAGAAAATGTCACTTCAGAAAACTACTCGATAGTATTAATATTATGTAGTCTATTATGTTTTTATTATCAATATAATATATAATCATCATTATTTTATGTATAATAATTGCGCGATATTTGTATTGCAGTATTTTATATGTATGAAAGTAAAAATATTTTTTTTAATATACACAAATATAATTCAAGTAATTAATTGAATAATATATAGTACACCAGTACATGATGAAAATTTCACGTTTGTAAAACAAAAAGTTCGTCCGATAGAATCGCGAAAATTGAAATATGTATATATGTTATTGAAATTTGATTTGTATCGTAGATTTGTATCTCCATTATATAAGCTTGGCATATTGCGTTTATCACTCTTTCGGAAAAACAGAGTCTTCGAAAAAATTTTTTTTTTTTTAAAAAGATCGCTAATACCCCAATATAATTTTCGATACGACAGAGCTCGTGGCACTCGTAATCCCTTGACGATCGATCTTCACCGGCGGAGATAATACGATTTTCTTAATTCTACGAAGATTACCGGCCGGAGGAGAGGGGTAGATGAGTGGGGTAGAATTAAGCGAATCGCGGAATGGAAATTATTTGAGCGGTGGAGGTGAGCAGCTGCTGCTCCCAGTAGGTTAGACCGGGATGAAAATTCCGCAGTGGCAATAATTCGTGTCCGCGCGGCATCGGATGGCTTTTGCCAAGGGATCCTTCGATAAAAATTCCAGGAAAGCCAGCGTCGACCGGCGACGGGGCAATTTCATTCCTGACACGGCGGCATGTCGCGCGTGTCCATTTGACCCGTTAAACCGGCCGTCGGTAGACCGCGGAAAAATGAAATTATTTCCGTCTTTGCTGCCGCCGATGTGAAATACGAGCGGGAACAATAACGTGCCGCGAGCACCTGAACGGGACCGAATACCTGAGCGTTTCGTTGGAACTTATTGCATTATTACGGCAACAAATATCGACGTGGAATCGAAATAGAACCTAGAAAAGCGTCTTTGACGCTCGAAAACCCTCGCGATTTTTTCGAGCTTTTAGGGAAAAACACGTTTACGCGAATGTCGGAGAGAGAAGACGGGGGGGGGGGAGGCGGGGAGGGAAGAGGAAAATCGGTCTTCAATATCCTACAATAATTTCCTACGGAAATGCCGGGCGTTTATCGAGAATTCAGAGGCTGGTTCGATACTTATAGCCTGTCTTTCTCTCTCTTTCTTTCTTTTTTTTTTTTTTCCAATTACCATTTGATTCAATTCGCGCGTGCCTTCGAGCTTTGTTATTGTGCGAAATAAAGCGGGTAGTTTTCGTTTCGCCGAAAAATCGCGCCGATAAATTCCGGCGACTCGTTCCGGCGCGGCGCCGTTATTCACCCTGGCGCCGCGCCGGTTTTCACCTCTGCAAATATATCGCGCGTGTCCCCCGTTCGCCCCGGCGCCGCTTATACTCGGCCATTTTTTTCAGTGACCGGTTTTCCAGCGCTGGACCCTTCTAACGACTCATCCGACACTTTTAAGCCTAACAGGTGGTAGATTATCGGACCTTTCCGGCGAACAAAAAAAATAATCCGTTCGCCACCCGGATTTGCCGAGTTTTCCTCCCTTTTTCTTTCTCCTCGCGCTTTCATCCACGTCTCAGAATTTTCGTTCGTTCCGCACGAAGGCACGCGTTCGCGTGCGAATCATGGTAATAGCATCTCGACACGTTTCGGGGACACCGACATTAACCGTGATGGAAACTCTCATTTTAATTGCAAGTAGCGTCATTGTCGTTATATTGTTGCGTCCTTTTGTTTCGAGAGCGCGTTTCGTCGAAGGTTTACCAAGATGTCTCGCCGCGATGTACGATTTGTTAGAAAATGAATCCATTCGCTATCCATGGGTTTTCACGATTCATGATTTTTTTTATTGAGATTGTTTTTATAAATTAATATTTATATTTTTCGTCAGTGTACACTGATATTTCACGATTATTTCACATTGCGTGTCACTTTACAATACGTATATTTTCACACGTGGCAAGTTTCACAATGGCAAGACTTGTTGCGCCCATCTTTTACAAGGCAGGGAAATGGACATTTCCCATAAATATTTTTTTTATGCTGTCACACGCGTAAATTTAATAATATTTAATCTGAAAATCAGCTGTTATATCTGCGTTTGCGTTAACGTCACCCATCCAAAATGGACGATATGAAATTACGGGCGATCGTCGCTCTCGCCGTGGTACTTTGCGTGTGAAGTGTGAACTATGCGTGCGAATATTTTCGAGCTTTACACACGCACACGTACACCTCACCACGGAAATGGAAATGCCTGTGCGACTGTTCCGTTCGCGAAAATACCTGAATTGAACGCGGACACACACCGCCCCTCGCCTCTCCCGTCCCGTATCCCCGGTCGCGAAAAATCAATTTGTTTTGTAGCAGTTTCGATCCACACGTTTCTCTCTTATGAAATTGCTCTTCGTCGGCGGAAGATTTATATGGTGGCACGAATCATCGGACGGCTCTGTCACACAAATTGAGATCCGGTGCGTGACTGCGTCCGAGAACATGCTCTGATAAATGACGTCACGTCGCGCTAACGAGAGCACTGCCTTCAGGGATTTATTAATACGATAATTATTTCTCTGTATTTAACGAGACGAAGTAGTAGATGGTAGGATACTCAACTCGTGAATCGCGCGTTGTAAACCTCGTTCGTGTCAGGATGAAAATGTAGTTAGGTCGGAATACGGTTACAATTAGACGGTCGAGTGCGTTTACAATTTGAAATTTTATTATCAATTTAACACTACGATATAGAAAAATTTTATAAATCACGTAAAAAAATGTATAAATGTATTCCTTTATATTGAAAATAACTTTTATTTTTCTAAAATTTCTTGTACCAAGATATTAAATAATATATCATATATCAATATATTTAATATATTATTTAATAATAATTATTTTATAATTTTATAATTATGAAATGGTATGTCGACATGTTAAATTTTAAATTTCGTAACAATGGCAAATTCGATTAAAATTTGAATTAATTACGACATGAGGAAAAATATGGAATATTTATGTATGTGACCGAACAAATTTTTGTTTCTGCTATTAGGTAAACTTGATTCTCGAGTCTCGCTTAAAGATAACATCAAAGTGTGCACGCGGAACTGATGAAAATTCGTTGTCATCTGTGTCCGGTATATATGCAAGAATTGCAGTTTCCATTTTACGGTGTTTTACCATCTCACGTGCGCGCGAAGCGAATCCGGCTCTCGGGGTTTAATAAATGATGTCACGCGGGGAACACCAACAGGAATTAACTGAAACGAAATACGACGAAAAAGGATTAACGGCGGAACAAAACCTTGGTAATCCTGAATCCTCTAACGCGTTACCGGATTGGCCATAGAAATTTATTTTCGCGTTTTCTCCGGCGTGCTCACTCTCTTTCTCTTCTACGCGATGAAATTTTTAGTACTGTTTCAGAAAAAATGTGCGCTTTACTACGTTCGTTGGCTGGCTTGAATAACAAACGATAAACAAGATTTTATTCATGAGATTAATACACGTATCTTTGTGCCTACAAAATGAAACAGCACTTCGTTGCAATTTGACTCATTAAAAACTAACGCACGACGATCTCATCCCGTGTATCTCTCTCTCTGTTTCCTTCCGATAATAAAAAATGAAATTTTTCAACATATTTTACAAAGAAACATGATTTTATTTCGATTTATTATTTTGATCGTCGCTGTAATATTTCGATCACTTTTGCATTGTTAATTTATGACAGAGTACGAAACTGTCTTCATTTTGGCTTAATGACACATATCATATTTTGAAATCAAGCGGAAAGCAAGCTCTGCCGATAGCTCGAAGCTGGCAGCGATAGGAATTTAATTTTAGCACCGGTTAGTTGCATGAGAAACATGTCCCCTACATTCTAGCGTTCGGTTAAACTGCGACATTTCCATGGAAACTTTTCGTTTTGCGGATACATACGAGTTTCGCTTCCTATGCCCATCCCCCGGGAGAGACACGAAGGTGTCTCTCCTCTGTACTAATGTACGTTCCTTGTCATGAAAACCAGCTTAACCGATATACGATAATCTGTTTGCGCAACACGAGTCCATACTATCGTTGTCAGTCTTCGTTATTTTGCAGCTTCGACATGTTTCTTAATTATACTTAATTATACGATATCTATCCCACATGTGTTTCGCACTCGTCAGACTGAAAACGATAGGTAAATCGATCATTATGTTTTCAGGAAATAAATAAATCGTGTCGTGTTACATTCAATTCCGAGTGAGAAAATAAATTTAAAAACAAAAATTTTATAATAAATTATTTTTTTGAAAAAATTAGTTTTTTTTTTTTAGAAAGAGCATACAGTTGTGAAGCGACGCGGTTTGTTAGAATCTATAGTTCCGTTTGCACAATACAATATGCTTTATTACATTCCACGAGACACTGCAGCTTTCAGGAAATGGTAGCTAATTATTCGCTTAGTTAAAGTCGAAGTTAGTTACAATTACGTGACAAACTCTAGCGTGACTAATAATAACAGCATACATCTGTATTGTTTCAGATTCGTGCTAGCCTCGTCCAGTTTGACTTTCGTCCCCTCGTTAGGTGAGTGATGTCAATGTTGCTTGCGAAATCAGATTGTAAAACACATATTTTGCAGTTCGTAGAGCAGAGATGCATTTACCGTGACGTAATTGCGCGAGGGCCTCGAAATTTCCCTTGGCATAGTTTGGGAAAAACTAATCTTTTATCGGAGAGATTTCGGGACTTGTCGGGAACTCGCACTATGTTATTCTAGGCGCGCGGGTTTCATTAAATGAATAAAATTTTCGTGTGAGAATCTTTGAAATGGGTTTTGTTGGCACAAAGAAAATGCATTCGGTGCAGAGGCAATGAGAGCTTGACGCGCGTTACGCAGAAAATGGTGACAGCGACGAGAAAGGAGTCGTTAAAAGGGAATGTACAATCGCTGCTTCTTTTCACGGCGGGAAAGCTTGGTCCTCTAACGCAAATGCGAACGTACGTTGATAAAAAAAAAAAAGAATAGAATTCAAAGCGAACGAGAGAAATATTTATGTCATATTTTACATTGAATACGGCGATAAATCGGTCGGATGAGTTAATCGTTATGAATATAGACTCGAAGTGGTAATTTTTATCATTGAATAAACTAATTTTTTATCGTGTAAATGTGTCTGTAGAAAAACCAGACAATGTGAATTACGTATTGAAATTTTGCAGACGTTTTTGGAAAATTTGATTAAAATCTTTAACCTAATTAATTATCATAATTATTAATATCGTCTGAAAATGACGTTACGGTCTTATATTCATTTTATACTCGTACAGTCTAAATTTTATTTTTAATTTATGTTTATATATTAAATGATACCTCGCGCGATATTAAAGTTCAAGCTCTGAAATCCTCATTCGGCATAAGAATGATTATATTACACAAAATTACATCGATACGTTCTGCATTCAGAAGGCTCTTATTGAAGGAAACCTTTCGTAACCTTTCGAAATAATATCGAGTATAACGAAACGCTATACTCGCTATACTACGCCCCACACGCGATTCTTTCATGGGAGAAAAGCGCGCGGTGCAGAAGGAATCGTTAACGATTCCGTGCGTCAAAGGAACGATGAAATAGTAAAAAGCGCGTGTGCAAGTGTGCCGTTCGAGGTTCGCGCGTGCATTACAGACAAAACCTGAAAGAAGAATAACAGCGCGGAGGCTGGGATAAGGCGAAAAATCGTGCGGCGGCGGTGGCGGCGACGGCGGCGGTGGCGACGGCGGCGGCGATGATGGTGATGGTGGTGGTGATGTTGGGGTGGTGACGGATAGAAAATGCACTCAGCCCTCCCGATTCAGCCGGCCACAGCGGTAACGTAGCACTTTTCATCCCACGATCGATGCGTGGCTGCCGCCACCACCGCCGCCGCCGCCGCCGCCTTGAAAACGC